TTAAACCTTTCCTCACATCCTGTGCCGTTAATTGTACCCCCAACTCCTGCATTGCACTTCTTTCTCTCTGTGGAAGAGGGCAGGATTATTCACCTCTAAAAGAAGGTAGTGAAAAGAAGGTAAACTGCTTTCATTCATCTCAGCAGGCTGTAAACTCTTTAGGCTGTCTGTGTGCTCTGTCCCTCAAAACTGGTATGTGTGACCTCCCCGAAGGAGTCAAAGGTTTTTCTCTGATGGACCTCATAACCTGTCAGAGGGAAAGAGAAACATTTAGACTAGTGCAGTACTGGACGACTTGTCAAGGAGTGGGTCTGAATAAAAGATGGTATAGCATCTACTACTCATTACTTGGGTCTCTCTTGGAAGTGTCAAAGAATTGACTAGTGATTATGTTGGCACTTACTAGAACTAGGTCACTAACTGTTCATCTGTTCTACGACACTTACCATTTCACATAATATGTAATATGGTGAAATACATCTTTTGATGTGCTATCCAGACTTCTCCCTTACATAGTTTGCTTGAATTTTTACTTTCCATTGTCATTACCTTTGGAATCTTCTCTTTAATGAATGATATCCTCTTACAAAATCCATAATGGCTGATTGCTTTCTATTGAAACCTTTTGGGGAACTTTTCTTCTGACAGCCTGAGAGAGTTGTGTTTAGAATGGAGGACATGCTGCTTCTTTGCTGTAATAAACTCATACTTAAAACTTTTTTGTTCATTTTACAGTCTGCTAAACTACGTAAGTTGCCTCCCTTTCTTACTATCTCGCTCCTGAGGTTTAACTTTGACTTTGAGAAGTGTGAACGATACAAGGAAACAAGCTGCTATACGTTCCCTATCCGGATTAACCTCAGGCCTTTTTGTGAGCAGGTTTGAACAATTTTGTCTTAATTTGTTCTCTGGCTGAATATGTGGGAAATTTATCTCCAGGATGAGCCATATTTCATTTTACCTTTTTGGTCAGGTCACAGGCTATTTGCAGGAGAAACTGTATGGCTTTCCCTCTGTCTGCAATCTGTCCTTCCAAAAGAGATCTCTTTTAATAGTGTTGGAAACTCTAACTTTTGTGGTGCGAACACAAAGCTTTTCTGTGTAGTACTGACAAATGGGAAAAATCAGTAATAGCATAAAACTTAATTGAACATTTCCATGCAAAAACCTCATTACCTGAAAGTTAGTTGTTGCATTACATTAATTTTTATGTTGGTATTATCTAATAGCATTATATAGAAACTCAGTTGTATATTTCCACACCCTTATAGTTTATGCATTCTCTTAGAAATCTATACAGATGAATAGTCATATTAATATAACCAAAACATAGTTATTAACAAAACAAAGCCTTTACGTAATTAACTTTAGTCCTTAAACTATGTAAATAATATACTTACTGCAGACACACTTTAAAGTCTGCTTTCCTAAAATCTTAATCACCATGGTTTTGGTCTTTAAAGTTCTGCAAATTGGCAGTTGAGGAAGGGTTTTTCAACATTAGCTTTGGGGGAGGAGCATATTATTATTTTGCTTTTATTTAATTTTTGTAAAAGTTAAGCTGCATGTGAGGTTTTTTTTGTTAAGCTTCGCAAAGTTTCCAGAGTTAACAAAGCCTTTTAGGGGGCCAGTGAAATTAGACACCCACCCCCAGTGGTGAGCTGGAGCTGGTTGTTAAATTTAGAAGTTCTTTTAGAACCGGTTGTTCCCGGACAACCAGTTCTAAAAGGGCTTTATTTAACAAAGGCTCGGGCAGCTGTCCACCCTGCCCCAGCCCACGTCCCCCATCTCCCCTGAACACTCCACCCCTTCTCTTCCCCCTCCCCTGCTTCCAGCGAATCAGATGTTCGCGGGAAGCCTGAAAGAAGCAGCAGGCAGGCTGGGGCATGGGGGCTACAGGAAGGTGGGGCGAGGCCCGGCCCAGCCCAGCTCGGCCGAATGGCTCCCTCTGGCCTGGCCCCGGCCTGGCCCTGGCTGAGTGCCCCAGCCCGGTCCCGGCCCGGCCCCGGCAGAGCGCCCCTGGCCCGGCCCGGCCCGGCCCCGGCAGAGCGCCCCAGCCATGTGCCCCCGGCTCGGGCCCCGCGGCTCCGGGCCGGCCCAACTCAGGCCCCGCGGTGCCAGTGCCAGTCCATGCCGAGCGCTCCAGCCCCAGGCCCTCCAGCCCTGGCTGAGCGCTCTGGCCGCCCCAGCCAAGAGCCCCAGGGCCGAGCGCCCCAGGCCCCAGCGCCCCAGCCCTGGCTGAGTGCCCCAGCCCGGCCCCAGCCTGGCTCGGGCCCCGCGGCCCTGGCTGAGCGGCTCCAGGCAGCTCGGTAAGGGGGCAGGAGAGTTCGGGGGGTTGTGGGGGGGTGGATGGGGTTGGGGTGGTCAGAGGGCAGGAAACGGGGATTGAATGGGGGCAGGGGTCCTGCGGGGGCAGTCAGGAAGGAGCAGGGCTTGGATGGAGTGGTGGGAGGCAGTCGGGAACAGAAAGAAGGGGTGGTTGGATGGGGCAGGGGTCCCGGGGGGCCATCAGGAATGAGAGGAGTGGTTGGATGGGGCGGCAGGGGGGCAGTCAGGGGACAGGAAAGGGGGGTGGATGGGGCAGGGGTTCCCGGGGGGAGGCGGGCGTCAAGGAATGTGGGGGGTTTGATGGGGCAGGAGTCTCGGGGGGGGGAGCCCACGACTCCCTCGTGGGATGAGGAGGAGGGAACCTGTTGTTAATATTTTGGCAGCTCATCACTGCCCACCCCCCACCATCATTTCTCAAGAAGTCACTTTTAACGTAGAACTCCTAAACTATTTACTTGTAACTTTCCAGAAAATTGCAACTATGCCTAGGAATAAGTGGTATAAACTTGTTTATGATAAACATTTTTGTTTCCAAACAAAAGGATTTCAACAGCATTCAATTGAAATATTCAACACAATATTAGCTAATGGAGCCGCTAACTATACTTCACTAAGTATGAATAGTAATTTCAGGGACAGCCGAGTTGGCATGTTTCAGTATTTGAATAAAACATACTTTTATGTTGACTACTGTTACTGAAAATATTTTACTTATAAAGTAGTTAAATGCATCTTTGGCTTGGTTCAAATGTATCTCTAACTCTGGAATAATGGTGGATAACAGAGAACTGCATTGATTGATCTTTTTCCCCACTAAAACGCCTGAAATTTTGTCCATAGTGTAAAATCCTCCTTGTTATTGTGTAAAAGACTTATGGGATTTATTAATTTCCTCTTGTTTTAGACTCAGTTGGAGGATTTGGAGTACATGTATGAGCTCTTCTCTGTTATTATACACAAAGGTGGCTGCTATGGAGGACACTACCATGTTTATATCAAAGATGTTGATGCATTAGGAAATTGGCAATTGCAAGTAAGTCTAGAACACTCATTTTATATGGCTTTTCTCCTGCTTGGCGAGTTTCAATTCCTTGAGATGTATTAATGTAGACTGTACTAAAGCATTAAGTACACTTTGTATCAACAAAATAGTCTAGTGAGGCATTCACTCAAGCTGTCCTTCATGGCCTTTGTCATGCACTCATTTCATGTGAAGAGACCCTTTATTCAGTCAAGGAATGATTTCTTCTAATCAGAGACTGGAAACTGTATCAAACCTTGTGACTAGATTTGGTTGTCTATTTGCTATCCCACTGAGTTAAGTCGCAGTATATGATTTAGAGAGGGATTTAGACTTTTAGCCTTCTAAACTTGGTAGGCCCCTT